GTCAACCAGGTTTCAATCCAAAGATACAGTGACATTTATTTTGTAAATCCAATGTTTCTACAAACACATTTTTGTTAAAAAGCATGAAGTTTATTCGAAAGTTGTTTTAACTTTGACACTTGTTTACAAACTCTAACTCTTGTTAACTAACTATCAAACACCAACTCCTGTTAAATAACTGTTATTTGTAAATGAAACATAATGTTCATTCCAGACAAATTCCAGTAGGTGATTCAAAACCACCACGTACGTTCGCGATCGCCTTTCCTTGCTGATAAGGACAGGGGACCAGTCTAGTTCGCCTCGTTGCTAACTTTCGCCAACGTTGGCGCGGCGGCGCACAGCTTGTTCGATCCACTCAAAATGAGATCGGTAGCAAACGTGCGCAAACTTGGCAACGTTTGCGCAAGTGGAACCACCACAGGATACAGTTTGCAAGGTGGTGCGGCGCGCGATGTTAGATTGTGTGTATTTGTGTGGGCAAACTTCAGTTCAAAAATTGCGCGCACGCAAATTCCAAGTTGGCTTGCGCGAATTTCAAAACAGGCCATCTTAAGATTGCATCACAATTACAGTTGTTTGAAACGCCACGACTTCGACATACTTTCGGCGCGACCGATGTCGTGGATTCGATGTCACATCACCAAACACAAATAAGGCTCGTCAACGCTTCACCCTTTCATCAACTTTATAGGTGACGCTTCACCCAATTATTAAAAAGGAACGTTACGGCTTCACTATAACAACAAATTATTGACCTGAGGCTTCGGCGTCGAAACGGCGTCGATATTTTGCGACCTCTGAGGAGGGTGGGTCCACGCTTCAAATTGACGCCTGCATTAAGAGGACAGGACAGCATGATTTAATTTTCGAAGTCATCGACTCGTGAGATTGGGGCAGTGTACTTAATAATATGTCTAATTACTCCTCTGTTTTAGTTTAATTTTGATTAAGTTACAGTGAGTTTAAATTTGAATGCAATGTATGGTTAATCAAATGCCAAAAGGATTTGTTCTGGCATTTTGAATTTTGATAACTAAAAAGCTTAGCTTTTGACAAAACATTGAGGGAACTAAGCATAAAGCATCCTAGCAACAATGTACAAATTCTGTCATAAATACCGTTACAATCCCTTTCAAACAAAAAATGCAGATGAAAATACACGTTTCTCAACTTTGAGTACAGAAGAAACTTTGTAAGAGCAAGAGTAATTGAAACAAATGAAATAAAACTTATTATAATTAAATTGTAAACAAGTTCTGCTCAAAAATTGCAGAGGAAGGTGGCCAGGAACCGCCTCAGATGGCACCACGGAGCATCCAGAATCCAAAATTTTCCCAGGCCCTTTAGTGACCCAAACCCACGCCGTAAATGGCTTCAAGCTCTACGCACTTGCTGGACTTGGCTCTTCCTACAAACATTTTCAGACTTTTGGTTACATCCCCACATTCAGGAGGGAAATGTACTCATGTTAAATTTAATGGATATTCAATGATTTAATACAATTGTATTGTGTAAAAAAACTGCTGCACAAATTATGTGAATTGCTATACAAATAAAATATTGCATAACAGTGTTTGCTATGCAATTTTTTTAAAAGGAAATCGAACACTGATGTAAACAAGTGTGCAAGCCTTACACCCAATGTTTTATATTTATTTATATAATAATTTTTAGAAGACCTTAAACATTGTAAATAGAGACTCTTCGACAGCTGTCGGTAATACCTCCCATAATCTAGGAAATCTATGAATAAGAGGATGATGAGCAGCATTACACCTGGCTCTTTGGTGGTGCAACTTCCCAACATCAGAGTGTCTAGCATTATCAAAAAGCAATGTAATTATCAAAATGAATGTCAAATTTGTTATTTTTAACAACAGACACAATTGAAAGACTAGAGGTTGTAGGAACAACCACACGGTGTTGGGCTATCGTGTTTGTGTTGATGGCAAGAAATTTAACAAAAGTTTGCTAAAAACACTGACAGTCTAGAATGACAGTTAGAGAAATGTCAAAGGCAAGTCGATGCCCGTCCGTAAAAAGCAAAATCAGATCTCTCACAGTTAATTTTTAAAGATGAATCAAGTGGTCTCAACATTTGTGCATGCCTATGCTGCTGTTGTGTTAACTTATCAAGTACAATCGTTACAAAAACCCATTAAATAGCTCATATCTCTAAAAGTGAAGGTCACACACCATTGGCCCAACACAAAATATTGCTGATCATACCCTCTTGAACCCATTGCGCGTGTTTTTAGAAGAAAAAAAAGCGCCCAAATTAAAAAAACAAACGCCCAATTGTGCGCTTTTGCCATCCCAACTTTTGAGTCTCACATGACATAAACAAAAGTCAAAAAAGTGCTTCCAGTATCAAGTTGTCATATACATGTAAACGTATACAAAACACCGGTAAACACTTAAAACAAATTGGTCCATCAAACAGCCGTTACATGTGGCTCAATAGTTAACATGAGAAAGTGGGAAAAACAGGTACTTCAAGAGGCGAGCACACTGTTTAGTGGGGAATACCCCAAATCTGAAGTGATTTGGTAGTCCACGAGGGGTCGATACTTACCTGCTAATTCCTACATGTGCATTATTCATTATAGGCCGCAGGCCCTAACCGCTAGATTTTATGTCTACCACAGCATCCTCTGGGCCAATACACAATACCCATGATGCCAAGCAGCATATTGTCCTCTTTTCTGAAAGCGAAATTACAAGAAATCCCACGCCCAATGTGGGGTAGGACGGAGGGAGAATTAGCAGGTAAGTATCGGCCCCTCGTGGACTACCAAATCCCTTCAGATTTGGGGTAGTCCACTTCGGGCCCTCTCTTACATGCTAATTCCTACATATGCATAGATTAGCACTGAAAGGAGGAGGGTATAGGCGAGATTTTCATAGGAACCTCAAAATAGCAGTGAAAAAACACCGAAAGTATCGGCCCCTCGTGGACTACCAAATCCCTTCAGATTTGGGGTAGTCCACTTCGGGCCCTCTCTTACATGCTAATTCCTACATATGCATAGATTAGCACTGAAAGGAGGAGGGTAAAGGCGAGATTTTCATAGGAACCTCAAAATAGCAGTGAAAAAACACCGAAAGTATCGGCCCCTCGTGGACTACCAAATCCCTTCAGATTTGGGGTAGTCCACTTCGGGCCCTCTCTTACATGCTAATTCCTACATATGCATAGATTAGCACTGAAAGGAGGAGGGTAAAGGCGAGATTTTCATAGGAACCTCAAAATAGCAGTGAAAAAACACCGAAAGTATCGGCCCCTCGTGGACTACCAAATCCCTTCAGATTTGGGGTAGTCCACTTCGGGCCCTCTCTTACATGCTAATTCCTACATATGCATAGATTAGCACTGAAAGGAGGAGGGTATAGGCGAGAATTTCATAGGAACCTCAACTAGCAGTGAAAAGACCAACAAATGTATCGGCTCATCGTGTACCCCATTAGAAACATGTACATGTAAACTGAATGTGCATGCAATGTAAGTGACATGGTAACTCACCGCAAAGGGGTTACTCTCTGGTAGGGATCGTCCCCTCACTCCGGCGTCTTCCATGGTCGGTCGGGTCTACCCCATTGTCATGGTCTTTCTCATAAGTCAAGGGCGTCGAAGCCATGATAACTACATGGCCCATCTGCCCTTCAGCCAGTGTTGGTCCCTTTATGGGAAACCATAATAGCAAGACGGTACACAACCTGAATGGAACTGGTGCTGGCCCTTTCAAGTCAAACCATAATAGCAAAAGGGTACATAGCCTGAATCGGGCCAGTATTGGTCCTTTCACGGCAAACCATATGGCCGCCGTATGAAGTATCTGGACAAACTGACCATTTGACACGATCCCAGATACATGTAGTACTAATCCAAATTGTTGAGTTGCATTCCATGACCCTGAAAATATATGGGTAGACACCAAGATTTAGATCCTTAGTGGCTTAAAGATGCAATACACGTATTCGGAGATTTAGGTTTTAAATGGCGGCCATGTTTCAGATACAAGATGGCCACAATACTGTATTTGGACAAACTAACAATTTGACACTATCCCAAATTGTACAGTTGCATTCCTTGACCCTGAAAATGTATGTTTAGACACCAAAACTTTAATCCTAAGTGGCTTAGAAGATGAGATATTGGTAGATACAGGTTTGTAATGGCCGCCATCTTTAACATCCAAGATGGCCGCCATAATGTCATTGGATAAGTTGGTTCCTATCAAAAATTTAAAGCTAAGGCATTGAGGAGCATGTATGGAAAATTTGGCGCTTTTGACCGGAATGTCGACATCCATTCACTAAGCTGCCTGACTAAAAGTTATGTTATAATGTAACTATAATATGGGTGATATAGGAAATGGGATAGGGAAGGAATAAAAGCCCTTGGCTTCTCCTGACCCCCTATGCTGACGCTTCTGTAGATCCATCTTAAACTAAGCTAATCCAAATTTAATTTATGACTTGTTTTTCCTTGCACATTAGTTTTACTACTTATAATGTACACATACAATGTTAATGTCAGTGTAACCTGGAAAAATGACACACTTGGGGGAACTCGCACAAACTAAGACTCTATGGGGATTAACTAACAAAACTAAACTAAACTCAGGATCTTTGAAGGGAAAAGTCGCAAGGAAATTGCATTAATAGAGACCAGAGACGAATTCTAGATTTCGAACAAAAAAAGGACCAAAAAGAATTCACCAAAAAGAATGGCACCATCCTATACACAGGCCAAGTGAGTTAAATGAGAACAAAGAAATTGCAATGAAAAGCTAAAGCACATGGTGAAGAATTTAAGAAAATCTCTAAATCTAATACTAAGAAAATGTACAAGAAAAACATGAAAATCTAGAATGCAAATGAACTTTCAACCTTTCTTAGTAATAAAACAAGGCCAAAAAATCTATCCTAAACCAAGGTTAATGAAAATAAACAGAACTAAGAAACTTTTCTCAAAAGAACTCAAAAGAGACCGGTTCCATTGAAAAGACTAAAGCTTCCTTATTACAGTAGGAACAAATCAATCATCATGAAAAGAAGTAAAAAACACTAGTGTCTTAAGTAAAATAATAAATGGAAACAAAATGAAATTATAAAAAGTTGTAAAAGAATACTTCAAACTGGAGCTTCCTCAAAGATCTAAACTGACCAGAGTCAATTGAAAGCTAACAAACTTTCAAAAGAAAACTGAACTATATTTCTAATAATAATTATACATGATAAATGAAAAGTAGACAAAATACAAAAGAAAACTCACCAAATGACTCGAGCAGACAGAGCTCAAACAGGACACACCACTCCAGTTAGGAGGAACATAAGATACCGGTATACTATGAAGTTGTCTCTGTTGGTCTGCTAGTTGAACTGAAGTGTGGCTTGACCATGTGGCAGCTTTTATAGGGGGAACATGTGGGCTTAAGTAAACAAACAGGGGGAAACACTACCAACAAAGGGGGGGGGGGAATCTTAAGTGAAACTGAAATGGTCTTCTTTTCTAAGGGGAGCTACTCCTATTCAATACACTATACATTACATACATGAAAAATATACAAGATAAATTTGGCCCTGCCACACTCACGCCATCTTAAAATATTGCTGTCGCCAGCAATGGCGGAAAAAAACTTAATACAATTAAGACATGATAAAAATAAACAAACAAATGCAAAAATACACGATACAATACACAACAAATCTATCAGTCACTGCCTTTTGTCTGGAATAATTTAACTGCTGTCACGGGATGAGGTGTCAAACTAATGAGGTGGTGGGATAGTGTGGACCTCCTGATGCTGCGCTCTCCTTCGGTGCTGTTGCATGTAGCTCATAGTCTCGTTTTGAAGACTCGGCCAAAAGTAGCGGCGACGCACGAGCTTCAACACTTGTCCGTAACCCAGTGTTTCCATGCTGTGATGAAGACTAAAGAATATGCTTCCCTCATCCCGCGGGGAACCACCATCAAACACTTGGTCTGCGTACCTCCCGTCCTGTAGAGGAGCAGGCCTCCCTTGACTTCCAGTCGGTCCCATGCATGTAGCAGCCTCTGCACCATCTTGGGCTCACATGCCATCTTCTGCCTACTCATCCGCTGAGGATTTCCTAGCTTCAGATCAACCACTCGCCGTATGGCCAGATCTCTGCGCTGGACTTCTTGTAGACTTTGGCCTCCCGCCAAGCCTTCATCACCATCATGGCTTGCCTGGCCACTGGTTGGGGTATTGGCAGGGACTGCTTCTGTGCATCTTTGGGGGACTTCTTGGGCTTCGGGACTCTGGGGCTCTTGCTCTTCGGTGGGGACTTGGGGTTTGGGGGCATCTGCAGTTGACGGTGGGGTGGGGATTTCTGGAACCGGTGAGGCTTCTGCAACTACTTTGGAGTGGTGCAGGGCACACTCCAGCCTGTAAACGTAGTCTCTCTGCCGTTGCTGTTCACCAATCACTTGAGAGATCGTTGCCTTCAGTGCGTTGATTTCCTGGAACTGTTGTAGGATGACTTGCTGCATACTGGCTTGAAGTTGCAGCAGTCCCAAAATAGTTGACTGTGGGTTGATTTCAGTCGGTTCATTTTCTCTGACTTGATTGTGACCGTCAGGCAGTGGATCAAATCCACACAACTGAAGCGGAGTCAGGACATCTGCCATCGTGAATTCGTCAGATCCACCAAAACAACACTGTGTTGGTTTGACTAGCTAGTTAAAGACCGCTAATGACAGAAAAAAAACTTTGAAAAAAATGACTAGTCCATATTAAAACAATTCCTGGCTAACTTCTAAAAAAAAACGTATTCCCTACCCGGATTCTCCACCAAAAATAGTAAAAAAATGTAACCGTGAAAAATGACACACTTGGGGGAACTCGCACAAACTAAGACTCTATGGGGATTAACTAACAAAATTAAACTAAACTCAGGATCTTTGAAGGGAAAAGTCACAAGGAAATTGAATTAATAGAGACCAGAGACGAATTCTAGATTTCGAACAAAAAAAGGACCAAAAAGAATTTATTCACAAGAACCTTAAACCAAAAACCAGAAACTAAAGCAAAGAATAAAACCTAAAAACCAAAGACTAAAACCAAAAACCAACACAGTGTGAATAGTGGATCTTTCAAAGAACACTCAAGCAGGAATAAAATCTGTAAACAAGAAAATACAAAAAGAGAAAACATATAAGGAAATGATCTAATGAATATTCATGATGTAATAAACAAGTTCTAAGATACAAAGGAAGTGGGAGACACTAATCCCCAAAGTGAAGGATTAGCAAGTAATAAAACAAGTCACCATCCTATACACAGGCCATGTGAGTTATATGAGAACAAAGAAATTGCAATGAAAAGCTAAAGCACATGGTGAAGAATTTAAGAAAATCTCTAAATCTAATACTAAGAAAATGTACAAGAAAAACATAAAAATCTAGAATGCCAATGAACTTTCAACCTTTCTTAGTAATAAAACAAGGCCAAAAAATCTATCCTTAAGTAAAACCAAGGTTAATGAAAATAAACAGAACTAAGAAACTGTTCTCAAAAGAACTCAAAAGAGACCGGTTTCATTGAAAAGACCAAAGCTTCCTTATTACAGTAGGAACAAATCAATCATCATGAAAGGAAGTAAAAAACACTAGTGTCTTAAGTAAAATAATAAATGGAAACAAAATGAAATTATAAAAAGTTGTAAAAAAACTTCAAACTGGAGCTTCCTCAAAGATCTAAACTGACCAGAGTCAATTGAAAGCTAACAAACTTTCAAAAGAAAACTGAACTATATTTCTAATAATAATTATACATGATAAATGAAAAGTAGACAATATACAAAAGAAAACTCACCAAATGACTCGAGCAGACAGAGCTCAAACAGGACACACCACTCCAGTTAGGAGGAACATAAGATACCGGTATACTATGAAGTTGTCTCTGTTGGTCTGCTAGTTGAACTGAAGTGTGGCTTGACCATGTGGCAGCTTTTATAGGGGGAACATGTGGGCTTAAGTAAACAAACAGGGGGAAACACTACCAACAAAGGGGGGGGGGAATCTTAAGTGAAACTGAAATGGTCTTCTTTTCTAAGGGGAGCTACTCCTATTCAATACACTATACATTACATACATGAAAAATATACAAGATAAATTTGGCCCTGCCACATCAGCATGAATGAACAAAGCCAATACCCATGTACTGAGATCCAAAGTGCAGGACTTTGAGGCTGAGTTTCTCATGTTAGACCCGACTAATGAGTCAGTGGACACCAACTGCGAGTGCATCAAAACCACATTGTCTGAAATTGCGTCGCATCAAAACAATAAAAAAGTAAACAAAATCTGCCATGGATAACAATAGATGTCAAATGCAAAAATAGGGAACAGGGATAAATTATTCTCTAAAGCCCACAAATCAAACAATCAAACAGATTGGAAATGACATATCATTCATATTGTAATTATGTCACCAAACTTGTGAGAAGTTCCTATGTCAACAATGTCATTGGTAATAACTTACCTGAAAACCACATGTCTTTTTGGTCCTATGCTAAGCTCATGCGAACTGAAAACCAACCCCGGTCTGCAATCTGACAACAAAGTGTGGAGCTCAGACTTAGACAATGCTGAGGCATTAAACTCACACTTTAAGAGTGTCTTTAACAAACCAACAAGGTTGGGAAACCAACAGAGCAAGGGGAAGTCACCATACAAGCTATTTCATACCTCCACATCAGCATAGAGGGTGTGGCCAAACAACTCACCAAGCTCAACCCATCTAAGGCAGCTGGTCCTGATGAAATGTCTCCACGTCTTCTTAAGAACGTTGCTCATGAGTTGGCTCCAGCTCTGAGATTCTTAATTACAGTCATGTGACAAAAATACAGTACCAACTGAGTGGCCACAGGCTATGGTGACAGCAATCCACAAGAGCGGACCAAAAGCTGAAGCATGTAACTATAGACTTATCTCATTGACAAGTACCTGTTGTAAAGTGATGGAGCATATCATACTGAGTCATGCAGCAAAATATCTTATTTCAAATAATATTCTGATTGACGAACAGCATGGATTTAGGGACCGCCTATCAACGGTTACACAACTGGTAAATTCAATAAAAATGACTGGTCTGAAACACTCCATTGTAAAGGTCAAACTGATGTCATAGGCCTACTCCTTGATTTTAGCAAGGCCTTAAAAAACATCTCCCATCAGCTTTTAGCAGTGAAGTTGCAATACTATGGCGTTACACACAACACTCCAGGCTGGATAAATAGTTTTCTTTCACATTGTAAACAAGCCGTTTCTGTCAATGGAACACACTCTTCAAGGATCAGACTTAGGACCCATGCTATTTCTCTTATATATTAATGACATAAATGAACACATTCAATCAAATATCAAACTCTTTGCAGATGACAGTATTGTGTACAGGGAGATAAAGACAGCAGATGATCAACAGATTCTGCAGGACGATCTGAATACCCTTGTATAGTGGTCAAACAAGGGGTTAACATAAAAAAAATGCACAGTTCTTACCATCACCCGCAAACACAGCCCAAAGATGTACCGGTACACTCTCATGGGTGAGCAATTAACCTGTGTCCAAAAACATGACTACCTGGGTATTACAATTTCACACGACTTGAGATGGAAAGACCGTTGTTCCAAAATTAAACATAAAGCAAGCCGTACAACAGGTCTCTTTTGAAAAACTTTATCGCCTTGCTCACAACAGGTTAAGGCAAGAGCCTATACAACATTAGTTCGTCCACAAATCAAGCTAACATGTGAAGTTTGGAACTCCAATTAATTACTGGTAAAAAGCACCTTGAGCAGATCCAAAAGAATACTGCCAGATTTGTCTTTTCTGACTACCGAACAACAACTCACATCTCACTGCTCATAGAACAACTAAACTGGGATCTACTTCAAACTGAACAGCGCACTCTGTACTATAACATCCACCACAACCTAGTCAATAGTACATTCCCACAGTGCTGCTAGCATGCTACACATATTTAACAAGGTATCAATCATCCACTCAAATACACCTCTCTAATCATACCAACTATCAATGCATACAATTACGCCTTTTTCCCAAGGACTATGTCAGTTTGGAACAGGCTTCCACCCTCTGCCATTCTACCCATAGCCCCATCCATACAGGCCTTCCAAACACCAGCCATCCCTGCCATCAGAGTCATGCAACCTCTGAATGGCAATATTGTCCTGTCATTTTGTTTAATCTCTTTCATCTGTAAAAAGAACATCATTTTTCCCCCCTTTTTTTTGTTTTCACTTTTGGCACCTTATCCATCTGGCTGTTTACGTCACCTCTGCACAACATCACAGTTTAGCCCAACTTGGGCTGCAATGGGATTACTCTACCAAGTACTATGGATAGTTCGAAAATATACCTCAAAATCCACATTTTCTTTTTCTCACTAAGAACAAGCTCGATTGGAATCTCAGAAGCTGCGGGCCAGCGAAATCGTATTCATGCACGAGTCACGTGACTGTGCCATGTAATTTCAGGAATGAGTAGTGAGTTAACAAAAAATGTCACATTTTTTACCCCAGTAACCCCATGTGACATGTTGGGGTTGGGCTACAGATACTTTTGACAAAGTTTGATTGAAATCGGTAAAAACATGTATGGGCAATAGACAATGTCAACGTTTGTTAGTAACTAATGGAGTAACGGAGAGACATGATGATTTGTTTAGCTGCTGTCAAGAAGCTTAAAAGTGTGGGGGGGGGGGGGAAGAGATGTAAGAATGGCTCATTCCCCCACCAAAACTTGTCAAAACGTGGGGGGTATAATGACCAATTGCATAAAAAGTATACTAAAATATACACAAAGAAAGAAACAGACAACAACCAAAAACTTGTAATTTTTCTCACAAGAACTCACCACATCCTTGGCTTCACGGAGCTGTTTATCAGCTGCAGTCTTCTTAAAAGAGTAGAATTTCTTTTCTGTCTCGTAGGTCAGCTGGAGCCACTGCTGTAAGACTGCTGGCGGGCGCCATCCACTGCCACTTTCTAATCGCCTCTCAGCCTCTTGTAATGCATTCCGTAGCTAAAAAAAGAAAATTATTAAGAAATAATATTTCTGCTTAGCAGAAATGACCTTACTGAATGCTTGGCAGTGCTTTAGATCTTGCCACACCGCAAATAAACAAACTGAACTAACTGTTAGGTTAAAGCTACAATCCATCATTTACAGCAATCCAAACAGTAACTGACGTAATTATTGTTGAAAAACATACTCAGTTGAAAGATAGTAAGGTGACTAAACTCCCTGTGAAATTATTTTTTTCTGGCATGCTGTCATTTTGAAGAAAAAAACCAAAGAAGGCCTTTCCAACATTGGAATTTTCGTTTTTTTTTTATTCAGCAAAGCGCGCGCAATCATAGGCACGATGCACACGCGCACGCAGTTGCTATAAATTGTCAGATCATTGCGCGACATCGCGTAGCTGCAATCGGCTCATTAAGAACGTGTCTCAAACGCTGAATTCAGGCCCAATTCAAAACATGATTCAGCAACTTTTGATTTGAAATCGAGATCCTAGAATGCTGTTTTTTTTTCTCAAAATATACAGCTGAAGCTTAGCTGAAACTTCATCAGGTTAGTTGTTCGGCACCCTTCTTTAGATTTTGAGCACGTTTGTTGCTTCAAACGAACAAAATGCACAAATTACAAATGATGGACTATACCTTTAAATTGTGGATTGTGAATATCTCATGAACTTAACCTTTTATTGTGGTGTCAGTGATTTAATAGGTGACTATGTTTTGTGTTGGTGAATTTTCAATGTGCAAACTTGAAATGATAATTAATCGACCCACCAACTACTATGGTAAGGATAGGGCTCTACAAAAGCACCCTGACACGACACTATGGGCTATAGTTGGTCATAACTTTTCTTTCGTGCATGATATGATGCATTACCAATGTACCTGAAATGTGCCGTACAAGCGCTGACCCCAAATTCCATTACAAGGGCTATGAGTACTTTCTTGTTAATTCATTTTATAAAACCCTACGAAAATAGTTTGTCTTACATCTTATATGGTCCTTTAATGTTTAGATGTCATTGTAAATCCAACCACCATTCGGCCTTGTGTCCCTAAAGGTGGATATTATAAGACATTTTATCATTTAAAATAAATGATCAAATGCTTTATTCTCAAAATTTCTCAGTTGGTGTTTTAATTTACTCATGTGTGAAATAATGCTTAGAATATTGTCACAGATTATAAACCCTTGTATATCACACATCAAATGAATTAACTGCTGTGTATACACAGTTTATAATAAGGGATTAGTTGCGATACATACCCGTACATGTACGATTTACTGATGATCTGGGGGGGGGGGGGGGCTCGTACAGTGGACATTATTACCAGTAAAAAAATGTGGGTGTCTGAGCAAGGGGAGGGGGTGTTTATTCCATTTCTTTACCCAGGGTATGCCCAAACAGTTTAAAACTGGTTTCCATTGGGGCCCTGCATACAATAAATAATGACTACAAACATGTATAATTATACAATACATTACAAATACAATAACATTCAATACAGTGAGATAAACATTATTTGAATAATGCATAGGTGTTAAGCAAATATTATAAATACAGTATATTTTTAACTATTATAACTACATGTACAGTGTGAATGCTTTACTATAAGGTTGATTCAGTGAACACAAAAAATTTGGATCTATCTTGTAACATCAAGAAAAAAAAAGAAAAATATAGCTGTAACTGATTACGGGAGGGGCGAAAACCCTTTTTTGGGAGAAAACACAGGAAAATTCCCATCCGGCTCCTTATTATCTTCTTCTTATTATGGCAACCAAGTTTGTTAACTCCGTAGATCAGCACATATCTAGATTTGTATAATCAGAGAAGACAGCGGCAAATACACAAATAATTATTTGCAGAAATATTATTACTGACTGAACATTTTACGTAGTTCAGATTTGAATGAGGCTAGTGAAGTCATGGTTCTCAACTGCACATGTAAATTATTCCAGATGATTGTACCAGTTACAGCAAAGCTTGAGGCATAACATTTGTTTTTGCAAAAGGAATCCTCAGTGCCATATCAGTGGATTGTCTCGTTTCACGAATCTGAATAAGTGGTGTAAACATATTTGTCATATACAAAGGAGTAATTTTGTTTATACATTTGTAAACAAGAATAGCCTTTTTATACTCTACTCTTTCAGCAAATGACATCCAATTAAGACTAGCAAACATATCGGCTGAAGGAGTTAAGAATGCACACTTCAGGATTATCCGCGCGGCTCTTTTCAAACATTTATTAAAAATATTGTCGTGTGATGTGTACCTTCCTCCCCATACAGTACTACAATAATCTAAAGATGGCAAAACTAAGCTAACAAAAAGAGAGTGCAGACTGCTTTGGGGAACATAGTCGCGGATTCTATTTAGAATACCTAGTTTAGAGGAAACTGTTTTCTTCACGTATTCAACGTGTGGGCCCCAACTTAAAGTGTCATCAATAATAACACCTAGACACTTACAAGAGTTCATCTTTACAATTGGACTACCAGCAATACTGACATTAAGGTCAGTACTGCAGACTTTTATTTTAGTTCCAATAAGCATGGATTTGGTTTTGCTGGTGTTTATTGTAAGTTTGTTTCTGACACACCAGTCGTAAATTCTCGCTAGGGCTGTATTCAAGTTGTTTTCTACTTCATCAACACTGGTAGAACTACACGTTAATGTGGAGTCGTCGGCATACATGAACAAATTACACTCACTATGGATACAAAGCGGTAGGTCACTTGTATAAATAATAAATAACAGTGGACCTAAAATTGATCCCTGCGGTACGCCGGTGTTAAGTGGTAGGGCTTTAGATATGTTGCCCTCAATGTTCACAGATTGACTACGTTCACTGAGATATGACTTAAACCAGTTGATAACAGAGGTTGACATATTAACCCTTTCAAGATTATCTAAGAGAGTGGCATGATCAACAGAGTCAAATGCTTTACTTAGATCTATAAAAACAGTGCCTGTTATTTCCCCACGCTCCATAGCCTCAAAATACTTGTTTGTTAAATCATATAAGGTAGTTTCAGTTGAGTGTGAGGGCCTAAACCCTGACTGACAACAAGGAATCAGACCACTTTCATCAAGGTAAGAGTACACTGCTGAGTGTATCCATCTTTCCAGAATCTTAGAGATAATCGGCAGTATAGCCGATAGTTAGTTGTGTTACACTTGTCTCCACCCTTGTGAATAGGCGTAACCAGGGCGTGTTTCCACTCATTGGGGTATTGTTCGCATCTTATCGAGAGATTAAAGATGTGCGTTAAGGATTTAGTTATGTACGGAGACGCTATTTTAATCATTTTCACACTTATTCCATCTGAACCTGTTGCTTTTCCGACCAACATTGATGATATTTGCTTTTGAACATAGTCTTCAGTTATCTCAGGCAGTAAGCACTTTTCATCAAGTAAATCTGTATCAAAAGAGTGGATATTGTTGTCCACTTCGAGTTCACATGGAGGGGCATTACTGGCCATACGTGTTCCGATCGTTGAGAAATGTTCGTTAAAAGTATCAGCAATGTCGGTGAGATCGTCAACGAATTCCCCATTCTGGGAAAAAATAGACCTTGGAATACTTTTCTGTTTATTGGGGAGAACCTCTTTTAGTTTTTTCCATAGAACGGAAGAGTTGCCTTTATTTTCCTCGATGATTGATTGAAAGTGTTCGCTTTTCTTGCTGCGGATTTTATCAGTGGTCATGTTTCGCAGCTTTTTGTATGCGTTCCAATCATTCTGTGAGCCTGAACATCTAGCCACTTTGTTTGCATGATCTCGCTGTCGCATAAGTTTTAGAATTTCCCCATCGAGCCATGGCAACGATGCACCACGAATACGCTTTGATTTCATTGGTGCATGGTGGTTAATAATACTCATAAACAAAGAGTGCCATATGGACCATGCTTCATTTACATCATGACAATGTTCCCATGGGGCATTAAGGAGGTCCTCTTGAAAAGCGTCATTATCGATATCTTTAAAACATCTGAAGTTAATTGAACATCCTTCTTTTTTGGGAGTTTTCCAATTATGAAGACCGTAAACAAGATAATGATCACTAATCAGGACAGGTAGGACACCACTTTCACTTACAAGTTCAGGATGAGAGCTAAAAATTAGATCAATGATTGTTTCAGTAAATTCAGTGACGCGGGTAGGATCATGAATAAGTTGCGTCATTTGAAACATATTAAAGCATGAAATTACAGGGTCTAAGTAAGTACCATTATCAATATCACATGCTCTGTGGGTTGAGTAGTTCTCCGACTTTCTCCAGGTATCGGTTCCATTCTTGGTCTTGGAGTCGATGATGGGCTTTGTGTGTCGCGGATTGAGTCAGCTTGGGTAGTGGTTGGTAGTGGATTGGCTGACGTCGTTTCGGCTGTCGTTGAGGGTAGTACTGGTTGGATGGCCGGAAAACCGTCGAAACATCCGGGCTAGCTCCGATCGGTTTCTTGAGGGCATCAGAGTACGACAATGCACCAAAAGGTGTTCTCTGCGGCGTGTATTCAGTCGATGGTGCACGTCGATATGTGTTCTCTGATGGTCCGGCTATGTGCTGTAGAAGGTTTTTGGCCAAAAGGCGTACTCCTGTGGTGTTGAGATGGATGCCGTCTGAGACAAGATGGTTCGAAGTTATGTTTCTGTTGTCAATAAAGTCCCAGTTGTTGCGCTGTGCGATGGATTTCAGCAAATCATTTGAATCATCGACCTTCTTACGTGTTGTTGTAGGTGTTGTTGGTTCCAACATGAAGAATTATGTCAGAAACATTGTGCTTACCTGACAGGTGTTTGGCGTTCAGAGCGATGTCCTCGATCTTTGCACCGCGCATGGTATGGCAGATGACTTTCTTTTTCGTACTCAGTTTTCTAGGTTGTAGTCGCTTGATCATGGAGTCACCGATGACCAAGACATCTGCTGTGGTGGCTGGGTTGGGAGTAGGTGGTTTGGTCTTTGCAGTGTTCCGTTCTTTGTGCTTTTTGCG